CCTAAATAAAACAAATTAATAGCAATACTTGAAAGTCTTTTTCAGCTGAGTGTTGATGTTGATACCAAGCCACTCCTCCTGTACGTATCAAATAAAGTCTTTCCTCCTGTATTAATGAAGTCCTATTTCAAGTGTGCCCTAGCTTCACAGCCAAAGATTATTAAGTGCTCTCTGTCATTAAATATCTAAAGATGTAGAGCTGTGTAGTGAAAGTGCCCACTGTAGCAGCAGCCTTTACTCATGTGGACCTTATAAATGAGAGTGCCGGAGCACGCATGCACGCGGAGCTAGGTGTAAGTACCTGGTGAACTCGGAGGCACTCCGTCACACGGGCCGAGGTAGCGTCAGGTTACACACATCCTTATTGTACGCATTCCCGCCCCGGTTTATGACCTGTTTGCTCAACATTAGGCTCGACGTGTTGTTGGAGACGATGCATGTCAAAATATGGCACTTGCGAGATTCTGGCTATGCTGTCAGACCGAATACAGGGCGTGACGACGTCGAATTCAGGCTACAAACGGACGTCGCTGCATCGTGAGCAGCACAGTGAATACACACGGTCCATGTGCTTCGAACTTTTGTTGTCCTTATAAGACAATTCCACTGCTGCTGCGCTATGCTACATAAATTCGTTTTCCCTTCTGTATTCAATGGAAGTTCCGCTCTTCAAGATGTGCCCCTAGCAAAGTTACGCAAGGTAGGTAGTCGCAAGCAAGATGCCTCATTAGCCGCTCTCTGTCCTTACGTATATCTAAAGCTGTTAGACTGGCAGTGCAAAGTGAACTGTAGAGCAGCGCTAGTTCATGGACACGATTCATGAGAGTGCTGTGAGCACATTCCACCGAGCGCTATGTCACATCAGATACAATAGCACTGGAGGCACAGCACTCACACGTGCCGAGGTAGCGTCAGGATTACACACATCCTATGTTAGGTGAAGAAATATCTCTCATTAGTTGTGCTGTGTATAAGAAGATGGATAATACATATTACAGAAAATGTAATATAAGCTAATCGTTTAAGAGTGGCACACTTCCTCTGTCCGACTTGTGTTGTTTATTTGAGTAAGTGCAAATTATGTTTGTCAGTGACTTCTAATGCCCTTGAACATCGTAACCGATCTTACAGTCAGCAGTGTATGACTGTGCACCGCTCTGCGTAACATATGGGATACCAGGGCAGGACTGCACTGCAGAGTCACTGTAGCAGTGATCCACTACTTAACTACGGCATCTGACCTGGATGAGCCCAACACAACTGTTTTCTATATCCTTAGCAACCTCTTGCAAAGCCTGCATTCAAACTGCGTCATATGTTTAAGGGACATTAAGACACGATCTAAGCAGCCGGCACTATTCCCCTATCTGTTTCTGTCAGGCTTGTATATAAGAGGATACAGTTATTATCTCAGACTTACAGATTTATAACGAAGAAGAACACTGTTGGATGCAACACTAGAGAGTTTACTATGAAAGTTCTTATGCAGGGCAAATGCATAAGGAAAACCTTTTATATAGGACAGCTGATCAGTGTTGCAGCTTTCACACATACTGTAGGTCCTATACCTTATATCAAGGCGTCTTTGGATACATATCAAGATAGGCACATGTGCTGCGATACCGCTGCTGTTTGTACTCTACCTAAGTGAGTTTAATTGCTGTGATAGCCCTTCACATTGTGGTCCCAGGAGTTATTCAATCCCAATTAGAAGACTATATGAACAGAAATAATCCTGTGACTGGAAGAATTAAAAACAATAAACACTGGACAGAACAAAAAAATAAGAATAAAGAAACTGTGGAGTTGCTGGTTATTATGTAATGTTTCTGGTGGTACTAGTAAACCTTTTAGCTTCCTTCTTCTTTTCCTAAATCTGTTTTCCTACCCTTCCCTCGCAGGAAATGGCTGAGTTGGCAGTCTGGTGCAGCGGCTTGGAGGCTTGGCCGGTGGGTCGGACTCTGGAGTCCATGTCGGGCCCTGAGGCAGGCGTGGAGCTTCGCCGGTGGAGGTACATGATCAAGGGCCATTATCTTCGAAAAAAATTCCTGCTCTCAAAATACAAACAAATGTCGAACCTTTCATATTGGTTGAATTGAGTTTGCATCTTTTTCAGTCAACATGAGTGAAATATTCGTTTGCCCACAATTAATTCTTCAAGTAGATAAACAAGACCGCCGCTGCAACGAAGTGATTGATTTGGATGTCAACATTCAGCAGGCAGTGATGCATCGTAAACAATCGCCTTACTTCTTTGGTTTCCTGTCTGTGGGTCCTTTCACTTCGGTTAAATGGATTCCTTGCGTCCCTCACTTGCGTCATTTCCCTGCGACTAGTCCCTCCCACCAGGGAAGCGTGGAGAGACGCAAGGAAACCACGAGAAGCAGGGAAATGTTTTAAGAGCAATGGGACGTTGTTTCCTGAGCGTCACGTGAAGCGACGTCCGTTTGTGATGACGCCGCACAGCTGATCGTCTGACAGCAGCCAGATCAGTGCATGTGCTGCATCGTCCAAAACAGTGAGCGATACACAGTAAGGGGGCGGGGCGAGTGTCTGAGGATTTCACCGGAGGATGGTCTGGTAGTTCCTCGATTATCGCTTCTCCGTTATCAATCCTCGGTCCTCCGGCACAAATAAGGCCACTGGGACGGTACTCAAGATGTCGCAGACAAATCAGCGAGAAAATGAGAGAAGTGAAACGCACCCATAGTCATTCAAAAGTGTAATGACTCCCTCATAAAACATGTATTAGGACATTGGTCCCCAACCTGGGGGGGCGTGCCAAATATCATATTTAGACTTTTTTTTAACATATTATTGTAACGCAATACATGATTGTCACTTCCAACAGGAGTCATTTGGGGGGGGGGGGCCTTTGGGGAAAAAAGGTTGGGAACCCCTGTATTAGGAGATGGTTTTATTCCAATAATTATTATAACCGATCTAATCCCAAATTGTATGAAATGATCTTCCCTGGAGATGACGGCCCACAATGTTGTTAACCCAAATTAACGACTTATTCCTTTTAGGGATGTGTATCACTGTAGCTGCACACTTTTTGTCTTTTTTTTCATGCTGTTGATGACGATATGTTTTATTGCAATTTTTTTGTTTTCTTTGTCTGTAGCTGTATCGGCGTACGTGGAGGCTTTTGATGTGATCGCCAGCGGCTCCTTGGCTCAGTACCTCTCCCTCAGCCAGAAGATCGGAGGCGATGTCCAGAAACATGTAAGCTGCATGTTCAATGTAACATAATATACAAACATGAAAAATACTAAAAAACTAAAGTGTCAAAAGCATGCAGAACCAGCAGGATGACTCTTTGTTCCTTGTTCAGAGGACTAAACTTCCTCTCTTCCTTGCAGGCAGACATGATGAAGCAAGCGTTCTCCGTTCAGAAGCAACTGCTCCAAACGGCCTCCTCTTCCCAGAAGCCCTCTGATGTGAGTTAAACACACTTCCTAATTGCTCGGCCACCTAATTATCTCCGTTAACTAAATGGCATTGATGAATCCATTTCAGCAAGATGAATAGTTCATTATACTTGCCTCTTGTCTTTCATGGTGTTGTTTCTTCTTATTTCCTGCCCCATTATATTTGATATCTGTAGACTTTATTCGGACTTGATTCAAGCTTAATACATTCTTGTTGCAAATTGTAAACCAGAGCCCTGCCATATATATCTACAAACTTAGGTTTTGATTTATCATTTGGAGTTGGATTTTCATGAAGTTAATGGCCGCACTGCCAAGTGACTGGACTTCCTCTATCGTGGTCTTCCAATCTCATTCCAGTGCCAGATTGACCTCGGTTTGCAGAAGGGTTTAGCTAGACCACTGGCTCCCCCCTTTCGAAGGCTGAGAACAAATATCTACTTTAAAGCTTAGCAACAAGTTAGCATTGCTTAGCTGGTTTGAGCACTATAATTCAAATGTTTTGTCATATTGTTTGTCTAAACTAGTTTGCGTCCCAACTGTAAATCCAAATTTAGTGGAAAGATGTTTGTAATATAACTTCTTGTAATGAAAAAAATCTTTTTGTTGTTTTCAAAAAGTCACCTGACAGTCAGTCTCCTGACTCTTAAACTCCAGAACTTGAAAGTTGCTTACAAGTTGTGTCTCCTCCCCCCCTCCCCCCATTCAGGCACTTTTGACCACCATCCTGCAGCCCATGTCCAAAATGATGCAGCAGGTGCAGACGTTCAGGGAGCAGAACCGCACCTCGCCGCTCTTCAACCACCTGTCTGCCGTCAGCGAGAGCGTGCCCGCCCTCGGATGGGTCGCCATGGTGAGGCTGGGGGTGGGAGTGGTTAACGGGCAGGGAGGGAAGCTACTGGGAAATGTTTGTGTTACAGAGAGTGAATGTGCTTTGTGTGTGTGTGTGTGTGTGTGTGTGTGTGTGTGTGTGTGTGTGTGTGTGTGTGTGTGTGTGTGTGTGTGTGTGTGTGTGTGTGTGTGTGTGTGTGTGTGGGCAGATAAATGAGTATATAATAGCCGGAAACAAGTCACTCTTTGATTCTGTCATCACAGTCTGCTGAGCGACAGTTCTTTGGCTGACACACGGCCACCACCAACAGAGCTTCACTGTTTCATTCAGATGATGAAGTCTTTGTTTGTTGTTCTTTTGATTCTCATGATTAATACATCATGATGTCAAACACATAATGGATGCATTTATTCTTTTTACTTGTAGTGTAATCTAAATGAAATACCTGCACTACTCATTTATCCCTTTACTGAGACATTTTAAGGAAGAGATTTTCATTTGGGGAGATGCATGTATTCGCTTTCTTGCTTAGAGTCTGCCAGTCGGCAACAGCCAGCAGTTTGTTAGCTTAGCATAAAGACTGCCAACGGAAGGAAACAGCTAGCCTGTCTCTGTCCAGAAACCTTTCTCCAAACTTCCAGCAGAAAGCAAATAAGAGAATTCTCTAAAATCTCAAGTAATATGTTAATTTGTTTGCTTCATTTTTGAACTTTGAAAGAGCAGGGAACAATATGTGTCCCTGGTCCACCGCCTTATTCTAAGCGAACACCTATCCTCGTCTAACTTTTGACACGAAAGCAAACAAGCATACTACCATAAATATTTAATATTTATTTCGAGCTCTTTTAAGACAGTGATGCATTTGTTTGACCTTCTTGCTCTCTGTGTCACAGGCTCCTAAGCCCGGCCCCTTTGTTAAAGAGATGCAGGACGCCGCCATGTTCTACACCAACCGTGTGCTCAAGGACTACAAGGAGAAGTAAGTGAAGCCCCTCTATACTCTGCTTTTTTAAACGGCATGATACGTGTTTGAAATGTTGTAACATCTGATAACTAAAAGGTTATCAGCCAAGCAGTTTGCTCAACACATCTGTCGTCCGTCTTTCCTTCCTCCAGGCTCTGTATTTAAAGTCAGCGTTTCCACTTCAGATGCTGACTCATGCTGCTACTAGACTTCCTGTATTTAAACCTGAAAAGCGTTTGTGTTTACGAGCAGAGTGACACTCAGGTCAGAAGTTAATGAGAGTAAAATCAGATGCACAGAAACAACTTTCCAAATGTCCCTGCAGAGTTGATGTATTCAAATTGTCAGTTTTTACAGTATGACGTCTGAACTTGGTGGTTAATATTGGTAAGAACAAAACTGCTGTATTTTTCAAGTAGTTCATCTCTCGTTTTCTTTCTAAAAACATTCATTTTTCTCATTGAGTCATGTTACCTGTAAGAAGCAGAGACCAGCGAAAAGTACATTGCTAGAGGGGGGAAAAAAAGAAAACCTAAAATGGCCAGACTTTAACTTCTGTTTCCGTCTCTTCCTCACAGGGACAAGGTACACGTGGACTGGGTGAAGGCCTACCTCTCCATCTGGACTGAGCTGCAGAACTACATCAAAAAGCACCACACCACCGGGCTGACCTGGAGCAAGAGCGTGAGTCTCTTCAGAGTAACACTTAAGAATCCTCTCTAGAATCAAATGATAAAAAAGACAATTTCTATCAAGCGACTTGCTGTCACTAACAGTAAAGTGCGAGAGTAATTATTACGCACATGTATGTTCTGAGCACGATGAGATTATCGGTGATGGCAATTTAGCCTGCCAGATATATAATTCTCTTAAAAACATCATACATTATTACTTCATTTCTATTACTATGCATTTAAAGGGGCCCTATTAAGCTTATTTCAGGTTCATATTTGTTTTGTGCCTCTACTGTGACATGCTTTAAAGTGGACCTATCATGCTATATTTGAATAATATAGTGTAGGACCATACCTATATAAGGCATATTTATACTTTTTATTTTTCAAAATACCAACCAGACCATGCATTTTAGCCATTCCTCATTTCGCTCAATTTAACACTGTCTTTGCATGGGCTGATTCTGTGAGAACAGCACCATCTACAGGCCTGGCATATGTACTACAGCGTCTCCAGCGCTTTCGAACGGCAATGTCCGTGGCTGTAGCGCCACTTCTGTGATGTCAGAGAAGTGTTCAAATCTGGATCAGTCTGTATCAGATCCGTTGCAGCCCCTTTTTTAGAGATTTGGGTATGGAGGAAAATAGAGAGGGTTGTGTTTTCTGACACTTGGTGAGTTCCCTGGAACACCGGGGACACATATTCATGTATAAAAGACGTACAAAAGTGCATTTTGCATGATAGGTCACCTTTAAATGTTGATGACCAATCACAACAGTCAGCTAGCTAACCAATCAGAGCAGACTGGGCTCTGGTTTCAGACAGAGGGTGAAAAGACAGGCAGTATGAGGAAAAATAAAGGGCTTTTTGAACATTAGAGGTAAACATGTCACTGTAGAGGTATAAAATACAAAAGCATAATGGGGCCCCTTTAAACATAGCTTAACATAGCTTAGCTGAATCATATGCTGTGACATCGCATGTCTTCAGGTACAGTATTTCTGACTTCCTGTCCACCTCAGGGTCCCGTTGCCTCGGCCTCTGCAGCTGCCCCCAGGGCTTCTGCTGGTGGGTGTGCTCCCTTCCTCCCCTGGACCCCCTCCTCCCCCCATGGACTGCAGCAGCTCCGGCGGAGGGGGCGATGGTGGTGCTGACACCCGCAACGCTCTGTTCGCCTCCCTCAACAAGGGAGGGGACGTCACCACCGGCCTGAAGCATGTGAGCGACGACCAGAAGACCCACAAGAACCCCACCCTGAGGGGCAACGCTCCAGTGCGTGCCGGACCCAAACCCTTCACCTCAGCCAAACCTGCTGCGGCCCCCACCCCCACCCGCACTCTGCCCCCTGTGCTCGAGCTGGACGGGAAGAAGTGGAAAGTGGTAAGTAGTTTGTTTACTCTCAAACAAATAATCCCTAGAACATAAGAAATCACAGCCTCATTTTTGCTTGACATAGGTTACTTTAGTGAGGATCCAAAAAAGTTAGCCAGAGTGACTGTTTTTAAATACTTATACACTACTACATATTTTGACATATAAATGTTATTTATTGCAGTACAATGTGGACATTTCTTTTCATTCTTTTAGATATTTTATTAATTCAAATCCAATTTCCTGCAGGATCACTAGTGTTCTGATGATTGACAAGAAAAGACTTGTTTATGCAGCAGGCTATTATGCTACCAGAATGAGCCATTATTATATACTTTTTATAAAATACTTATTTAACTCTTGCCTTTTTAATATTGTTTCCTCCACTCTTTAGCTCTCTGTTTGGTTAATTCTCTTGTTCTTTGTCTTGCCCTCTGCAGGAGAACCAGGAGGGAGCGCAGGACCTGGTGATCAGCGACACAGAGCTCAAACAAGTCGTTTATGCCTACAAGTGTAACAAGAGCACCCTGCAGATCAAGGGCAAGATTAACTCCATCACATTAGGTAAGATCAAAACTGCGTGTCTGATGTTTAGAGATACTGAAACTCACTCGTCAGAACCTTCTGAAATATATGCGTTAGAGAAGATGGGTGGACAGGGTCTTACTTATTTACCAAACGTATGAATATATAGTCTTTGATCTTCTCTCTAAATATTTGTTTGTCTCCATCAGACAACTGTAAGAAGCTGGGCCTGGTGTTCGATGATGTGGTGGGCATCGTAGAGATCATCAACTGTAAGGACGTCAAGGTCCAGGTGTGTTTAAAAAGAAAAAGTGTTATTACAATTTTGTTTTTACTTCTTGTGTTACACACCGCTCAGGTGCAGTGCAAATGTCCCATCAGATACTGAGGACGAAATGGCTTCATCAACATGCTAATGTTTTTTGTTGCCTTTTTACGCATCCAGGTCATGGGTAAGATCCCCACTATCTCCATCAACAAGACGGATGGTTGCCATGTCTACCTGAGCCAGGACTCTCTGGCCTGTGAGATTGTCAGCGCCAAGAGCTCCGAGATGAACATCCTGGTACCCAACAAAGAGGGAGAGTTTGTAAGTATCCCTTTTTTAGGATGAAAATAATACAAAAGAATGTTTAAAAGATAAGTCTAGTGATATTCTCAATTTCTTTTGTTCATGTTAGTAAATCTAAACCAATCCCACTTAAAGAAGTTATAGAGCACGATGTTTGCCAAAAAACACTGCTGTACTGTCAGACATCTTCGTTCATTAATTTGAATAAGACTGTAGTTTACTTTGAATTAATCCCAGACACACACACTACCTTCCTGCAGCCGTGAATACTAACTAGTGGCAAATGTGTATTTGTGTGTTCATCCACAGCTGAAAATAGTCCACAACACATGATGCATAATTTCCTCCTGATTGAGAAACATTTTGGTCAAACTCAATGTTCAGATATTTTAGGAAATAATTCTGTGTAGGAACCAATGAGTAAAAGAGCCCCTGGCAGAGTAGGAAAGTCAGAAAGTGCCAACCAATGGAAACGCTGTGTTTTTTGACAACAGAGTCTTGCCTGCTTCATTATTTCTGCATGGGCATAAAAAAGAGCTTTTTAAAAAATGAAATATTTCACCATGACTTTTCTCTCTCCACTAGACGGAGCTCCCTGTTCCTGAGCAGTTCAAGACCGTCTGGGATGGCAAGAAGCTCGTTACCACATCAACAGAGATCGCTGGATAGACGGGGGCAGCATGCGATACCACGACCCCTTCACAGCACCATCCCCACCCCCTTTTTTTGCAAATGCCTTCTTGACTGATCGACCACCCCACCAGCTAACTCGCACATTGTAGACTGAGATTTGGACCTTGTTGCGTGTGTTATATCTCCCTCCCTTCTTTCCATTATCAGCCAATCACAGCTTAAGCTGTCCCTTCCAACAGCCAATGAGAGGAATGCTCACTTTTATCTGGTGCAAAATCCTCCAGCCAATCAGCAGGGAGGGGCTTGTGGTTCAAATTGGAGCATTTTTCAAAAACATTCATGAGTTTTGCCAATAGCTGCGATACTCTGTATGATATTCTGTATCTATCTGGATAATGCTAAGCTAAATTTAACATGTAGAATAGCCAACATGGGAACAGAGATATTATTGCTCTGCAACAATCAGGCTCCACTAGCAGGATGCTTCAGGGGCTGCTGGTTCTTTTTTAGCCTTGATCTGTTCCATTATATGCAATTCACCGGTGAAGCACTTCAAACTGAGAGGATAATGGCATCCATATCACCTCCGCTGATGTTGACTATAATAATAATAACATTCATAGTGGATAATGTAAAAACACTCAGAGCACAAATAGGGGTAAAACAATGTGAAACTCATTTAGGTAATGTTGTAATAAGTAAAATAGCAGGAAAACTATCATTCCATGTGCTTTCCCTTAACCCACATAGGACATTCCTGAATATGAACAAAGAAAACATTCCATATAAATGAGGCATGTAAGAAACAGTTTGTGATAAAGAGATGCTAAGTGGAAGAGAGACATTGTAATTGTTAAATGCTTCACTTTAGTCTCTAGATTAGAAATGTCTGCATCTGAAATCATATATAAAGATATTGATCATTATCAAAAAGTCTTAAATAAGTCTGACCATCGACGTCCCTCCACTCGCTCGCGTTATGCTCTTTGGTTAAATGTTCAGCTCGAGGCTCTTTGTTGAATTTTCTTTTATATTTTCTCTTTATTTACCTCTTTCTTTTCTGGGTCCAAAAATCTCAATTCTGCTCATTAGCACTGGAGATATCATTAAAAAAAAATGTTGCAATAAATAATGTGCTTTGTCTTTATTGGATTAAACACATAATCTGTACAGAGGCTGTTAGATGATGTACATTAGGATCCTACAACTAATACAATAAGAAGTCTCACTACATTTCGGAAACAAAACATAACAGCTCACAGTGGAAATAACAGTGGAAATGTGAACAATTTCTAAAATTAACATAAAAAAACCAACATGCGACAAAATCAGTGCAATATGAATGGATTATGGGAGTTCTGAATCCCTGCTTAGCCGGTAAACTTTTACTCTAAACTTGCAATATATTGCTCTTAAAATAGAATTGTTTACGTCTGCTATTATATGTCTCTGAGATGACAGACTGGAAGGGTTTTACTGTAGATAAGGCACCAGGTTTGCGGTGAACCACTCTCTGGAGAACTGCAGGTGGTCTCCCTTGGTCGCAAGAAAATCCAGCTTTCCAGCTTTGTCCATGGCAGCCAGACCCAGACGATCCTGCATGGAGACAGACATGATTCACCTTCAGGAAGTGAACTAAAGGCAGTCTTCGCTGCAGTAGCATTTATCATGATTATTTTGTCAAGGAAGGTCCCTAGTTGAGGTAAATAACCAGGAAGTGGAAGCCATGATAGGAGCTATTTGAGTCCTCTAAATGCTTAGGAATGACTTATTACATATATATATATATATATATAGGCGAGAAAAAAGAAAGGAAATAATGCGATCCCAAAATCCCATACAGCAAGACAAGTTTTAATAATATCTGCCTTAATCCTCAGTGCCATTGGATTCTTTTAGACCCTTCCCTTTATTCCCCCGCAAGTCTTTCTAAATGATCTTTCCTTGACCTTGGCACAATGTTCGTCTTAAATCGAGTAAAAGTTCTTCAGAAAAGAGAAGACTAAACGTTTTTTCTTTAGCTCTGTTTGTAACTTCAACACCTTTTTAACTGTGCAAAAAGAGTTGGGATGAAATGTACAACCGACTAGGCAAAATCAACAAGTCAATAATCAGAAATATGAGAATTGTTTTAAAAAGGTTAAAAGACCAATTGATCTAAATCCAAGACCATTTCAAATGTCCGGTGGTTTAGTATTACATGTACAAGTTTAGGGATTGCAACTGTTTCTACAAGGTGCTATCCATGACAGACCAACTATACTTGTGTAAAATCGTTGAAGAGCACATCTGACTAACGTCCACACTACCGCTTCGACAGCTTCAAAAACGGTTTCCAACGCGTCTGCCCATTCACTTTGAATGGGGGTGACGTCACGTTGCCTCGCTTTTCGCCGAACTGAATTGTGGGTAGCAGAGCGGAGCTTTCCTGGCGTTTCAGGCTGCAAAAGTTGAGCAATGTTCAATTTCTGAAGCTTTCGGTGGAAGCGTCAGCCAATCAAATCATATGCCAGTACAACCTCTAGCCAATCAAACTGCTGCTTGTGTGTCAGGGGCGGGAGATTCATGCGATTGGTTGTTGGTCGAGCTTCAGACACGCCCGCCGGCAAGCTTTTTTTGAAGCTGTAGTGTGGACGGGCCGTAACCCTAACCCTGCTAAGACTGAGACTCTATCCTAATACAATTAGTTTCATCTAGTTCAAATATCATTAATAAAGATTGAAGAGAGGGGAACAAGTATCATGCTATCATAAACACACGTACCTCCTTGTAGAGAAGGCTCTCCTGTAGAGTTTCAGTCTCTTTGGCCTGTCCAGTCTTCAGGAAGCCAAACCACTACAGCGAGAATCAGAAGTTTAGTGATGCTGCTTTAGTGTAACATACATGTATAGAGTGTGTTTGTTACCTCTGTATCGACAGGGTCCACCACGGTGTCCTGCAGGAACTTCACCATGACGAACTTCTCCAGCAGCTGGAGGTTCTTCTTATACGTCTCATTCACCGCCTTCAGAGCAGAAGGACGTGTGATATTAGAAACATACTGAGAAAGATGGTCAATTTGATTCATACATACATATCTCAATCAGCAACAGCAGCTTCTACAAACAATTTGTACATCATTCAGACACACTATAGGAGGACTTTATTTGAAATCAATTGCATGCAATACAATAATTTTTGTATTTTAAGGGAAACTATGCTTTCTTTTTTAGTAAATTTGACTTTTTCAAGACTTTTTTGTGAGAGACTTTGATTAAATATTTTTGAAATATAAAAACACTATACTCTGACTTAGTATCAATTTTGTATGACAAATCTACAGTTTATTTTAAATTGTATTAATAAGTATCAACCATTAAATAAATATGAGTTATAACTGTTTCTAAAGGGTGATTGGGAAATAATATTAAATATTTGTCTTACTTGCTTAACTGGTGCTCTTACCACATCTCAGTCTTAATACATCAATGAAGTCTGACAGATTCAGCAGGTAAAAGCCTCAGTAAGAGGAGCTGTAGTTCCATGTATCTTATCAAACTACTTTCTTTTTTAAAAAAAACTATTACTTAACATTTGACTTTCCCACAATAGCCAATGCTTGCATGCTGCCCTCCCACTGCCTGAACTCATTGTACTGTATTTTGCATGAATGTTATATTTGCATTTGTTCCTCAGACTTCAGTTTGTCTGAGGTGCTGCAGACTGAAGCTGTCTTCATAAATCCTCCATACTGACCCTCTCCTGGTTGATGTCGGCCAGGAAGAGGCTGTGCTTCTTGTACAGGTCGTCGTTCAGTGGGTCGTGCCAGTACTGGGCCTGCACCAGGCTGATAACCACAAACACATCCGGTCAGTGATAGTGTGACAGACAGCCAAACAACATCAACACTGCTGCTGAACTCATCAGTGAGAGATAGACAATCCTTCAGAGAGGGAGGAAACTCACTGTTTCTGAACCAAGTCGCTGTAAGCTCCGCTGTTCAGAGCTTTGCGGATCATGTCACAGATATGGGAGCTCTCTCCGGGACACCGGGGCAGCCCGTACACTCCTGAGGGGCGCAAACACAACAAGACAATTTGTGACCAGATAGTATTAAAGGTCTTCTATTATACTATTTCTCATCAATATATTATAGGTCTTGGATATACACAAAACATGTCTCTGAAGTGTTTGTCTTGAAACACCAAACAGATCATGCATTGTAGCATCCCATAATCCCCTCTGTTTCAGCCCTGTTTCAAAAGTGCTGATTCTCTGTCTGTTACTTTAGATAAAAATAAGGAGCCCCTCCCCACGCCCCTCTGAGAGAGATTTGGTTAAAAAGAACACAAAGGTGCACTTGGGAGNGAGATAGAGATTATATATCTAATATATGCATCTGATGGAGCATTGCATGAAGTCTGTTGATGATCAGAGGCTGTTGTTGGGGCTGCATTAACCTTTTTTTATTTTTGTTTTGTAGACAGACCATGCAGGCCTCAGAGAGTTAAACTTGGGCCTGCGACCATAGTTTTATTGTATTTATTTTGAAAATCCACAGCGGAGGTTTGTGCGGTGTATTATTTTGGATATCTCTAGGTAGCCAACGATCTGTGAGTCTGTTAGCTCGGACATAAACGCCGTAATAAATGTAGTCTACTACATTTCATAAGAGGTGTAAAACCTGAGAGCATTTTAAATTGGATTTGAACTAAATGCTTATAATCTGTAGTTGTGTTTGTATTGTTGATTTCATGTGTGAACGAGGCGATGTAGAGAAGGTTAAACTGTCATTATTAGGCTGTAATTTGTTATATACTGTTGGAATGGTAAGCAGGCCTATTGTTTTTGGATATTTGTGGAGTTAGATGGTCCGTGAGTGTTTTTTTTATTGGTTAAGTGGTCTGAAAAAGTGGTCTGAAAAAGTTTGAGAAACACTGCGCTAGTTGATTGTCAAAGGGGGAGCCTCGCTGCTGGGAAATTATACAGATGGCTAGTCCGCCCCTGAAAAATGTCTATGTACACATTATTATTAATAATAAAAATAAAAAAAATTATTAAAAAAGTTAATTACTTTTTTTAAATGTTCTATTTTTATTTTGTAATCATCTCGCGACCCCCACTTTGGAATCCCTGTGTTAGATAATAAACACATTTCTAACAATCATTGTTGGATTAAATTGTTATATTATGATTTAATGACCAGATCTAAATCCAAAGTTTATCAATGCAACACAAACACGGACACAGGCAGATTACAGCAGTAAAGACAGAATACCAAAGATAGGACAAGGTGATTTATTTACCTTTGAGGAAGTTCAGACTGTAGTCCGTAGGGCGAAGAAGTAAAACATTAGACATCAGTGCCTCCTCTGATCATTGTTCGCAAAAAGGTTACTCCAAGCTTGTTACTACAATCCATTCAAGAGTCCGGTGGAGAACACAGGGTCTTCATTATCGTCAGCAGCAGTAGCAGCAGTAGCAGCGGTAGTAGTATTTGTAGTTGTAGCAGTAGTCAGAGTGTCTGTTTATATGTCTGAGCTGAACTTGACTGACAGGATCGTTTGGTACAGAGCAGTAAGATGTGCTCTCTGAGCTTGAGGCGGTGCGACAGAGGGCTTTACATATGAATATTATTTTTCTGTTGTTGTATTCATTGCTGATTAAGTCTCTCCCCCACATTCCCACGAGACGAGCTCCGTCCCTGCCTGGTTACCCGCAGTAACACCCATGCACACACCTGACACACTGGAACACACTCAAACGCACTCTCTCCCCCTACGGTTTTTCCACTCTCCTCCCCCATACCGCTTCCTACTCACTGATGTCTTGCATTTTGTCCTTTTGGTTATTCTTTATTCCTCAAAACTCGGGTTGGTTTCTTCTTTCCTCTCAGATGGGAATTAAATCCACTTCCTCATTAGAGTTTTGATTTGATGGCAGCTTTTCTGTCCAGTAGCTGGTTTAGCTCTGCAGTTCTCGCTGACTTGTCTATCTTCCTGATGATACAGATCTCAGCTCACTAGCAGCCTGTGTCCTGTATGATAGCAGCGACAGCATAGTGACTGACTTCAGAGCAGCACCACCAGTTTGTTTGCTGCTTGGTCAGCTTCTGAGATTATCCCTCTTGTGTTAGCAGAGCGCATGGCTGGAGCTCACACCCACTGAGCCTGCATTACAGCAGCACAATAGATCCCCTGCTGGTTACGCAGGGGTTTAATATTTCTGTTACAGTAATGGTGTGCTAATGTTGGATTTTTTAAATTACACACAAATTATGGATTAGAGTTTTTTTCTTAAAGGTCCCCTATTATAAAGTTTTTCATCAATACATTATAGGTCTTAGTTATATACAAAACATGTCTCTGAAGTGTTTGGCTCCAAACACCAAACAGATCCTGCATCGTAGCATCCCATAATCCCCTCTGTTTCAGCCCTGTTTCAAAAGTGCTGATTCTCTGTCTGTCACTTTAGATGAAAATAAGGAGCCACTGCCCACGCCCCTCTGAGAGATATTTGGTTAAAAAAACACAATGGTGCTCTAGGAGGAGATTCAGGGGATAAGGTGGCGGGGGTTACCTTGGTTGTTGATTGGCTAATGGTTACACAAGCCAAACAATCGTTATGACATCATAAAGTGGCCAAAATCTGATCAGCTCATTTTCAGACAGGTTTCTATATAAATGGATCAGGACAAAAAGAGAGAACTTTCAGAATCTCTTTACACAGAGGGGACACATGTTGATGTATAAAAGACATGAAAAAGTGTATTTTGCATAATAGGTGACCTTTAAAGTCAATCCTTGTACTATTGCCTATCCAGGAGAAATGCAAAAGAGTTTTAATGATTGTTTTTTCAGAGTGAGATCATTCAGAAGTGACCTGACCCTCAAGTCTCTATGCCTCAATCCTGTTAGAAACTGAATGAAAAACAGTAACACATTTACCATTTAAGTGTTGAATTAACATGCGAAGGGGAAACACATTTGAAAAGTTAACATCCATAATCCAGAACAACAAACATGTTTTATAATTCAGCAAAACACAGTAGTCTGTGGTAGGGTTTGTTTCGTGTGAGATGCCCTATAATGCACTGGTCCATTGGTACCATTCATTTTAAGTCAGTTCATTCGACAACATGTGGCTGGTTACATTCTTTGGTAAATAATTGCTGCAACCCATTTCCATTAATCGATTTGTCTATGTCAATCTGACTCCATCTGAATTTGAATGTGCACGTTTCCATCTGCTTTGCTGTGTTCTGAGCTTGGCTTTTACTCAAGTGATTCAAAGGCAGCACTTGCATGCAAATACAATGAGAAGGGAAAGGATGTGGTTGGAAGAACTGAAAGTTTATCTTTCATAATTGCTATCATTAAGGTTCTCAGCACTGTGTTTTGTTTTGAAATAGCCTGAGTCATTTGACTATTTTGCACTCCAGTGTATGGATTATTACCACAGGTACCTCACCATTTTAAACATTTTTCATCAAGCTGGATAAAAAAAGCACTGCTATGCTAGTCAAAGTAGAACAACATCTCCTTATCTGGATAGCACCTAACGTTTGTTAAAGTGTGGTTTCTGGACTCCTAAGTATTCATGTTATGAGCTCGTGTGTTTTTACAGAGATTTACACATGGTGGGTAGATCTATTTGGATGATGCCTTTTTAGGAATTGGTTAACCTCTTTATAGAAAACCTTCTTTAATCTAACAAACAAATATACTGTCTATTTCTAAATACATCATTTAATTTACATTTGCTACAATATTGAATAAAACAGACATAAGTTGAGGAGTTATTTGTGAGTTAAAGGTAAAGACAAGGCACCTGCATTTTATGTTAATTTTAAATAATCATAGTTAATTGTTTTAAAAGCTCTCATCTGCTATCATTTTTCATTTAACATGCTACAGTGCTGCCAACATACTTACCGTTCATATAGTATTAATCAAACATGTTATCATTCCATGTTGTTTATAATTGTGTTTAGTACAATTCTGTTCTCGTTTCTTTAAGGGTCATTGTAACTTTTTTTTATTAATAATGATAGTATTTAAAAAATATATAATAACAGTGTTACAGTGGTAAAAAATTAAACTAATATTAAGCACTTCTCTATGCAGTGCAGGGAAATGCTGTTAACAAATGAAAGAACTAACTAGAGCAAATCTGGGTCAGGGAAGAAGTCCATTGTCAAGGCAGGAATGACGTTTGTGGAGTTTCTTGCAACATTTCAAGAACAAACTCCCCACTGAACAATGGTTTCTGCGGCCCCCCTTGCTCAATTTCTCTTTCCCGGCCCCTCCCCCACCTATGTACCATTATAAATAAATCCACCCGGTGGCTGAAACTGCTGTCAAAAGAAAATGGTCAAATTACTTTACACAAAACAGAAATACATTAAAGGGGACCTATCATGCAAAATGCACTCTTTGATGTCTTTTATACTTAAATACAGTGGGGCAAAAAAGTATTTAGTCAGCCATCAATTGTGCAAGTTCTCCCACTTAAAAAAATGAGAGAGGCCTGTAATGTTCATCCTAGGTATACCTCACTATGAGAGACAAAATGAGAAAAAAAAATCCAGAAAATCACATTGTCTGATTTTTAAAGAATTTATTTGCAAATTATAGTGGAAAAGTATTTGGTCAATAACAAAAGCTCATCTCAATACTTTGTTATATACCTTTTGTTGGCAATGACAGAGGTCAAACTTTTTCTGTAAGTCTTCACAAGGTTTTCACACACTGTTGCTGGTATTTTGGCCCATTCCTCCATGCAGATCTCCTCTAGAGCAGTGATGTTTTGGGGCTGTCGCTGGGCAACACCGACTTTCAACTCCCTCCAAAGATTTTCTATGGGGTTGATATCTGGAGTCTGGCTAGGCCACTCCAGGACCTTGAAATGCTTCTTACGAAGCCACTCCTTCGTTGCCCGGGCGGTGTGTTTGGGATCATTGTCATGCTGAAAGACCCAGCCACGTTTCATCTTCAATGCCCTTGCTGATGGAAGGACATGACAATGATCCCAAACACACCGCCCGGGCAACGAAGGAGTGGCTTCGNTGTCAATGAGTCTACGCGTCTGTTAGTTGAAGCCACTATGGCTCCTGGGGGCCCTTGTCGCTCCCTTCTTTTATTTAGCTGAACTCTTCCTGGGACCAGTGGCGGGCTGGATTCCCTCTACGCTCGCCTTCTCTAGCTTGGGGTGGTTACTCCTCCCTTGACTCTCTCTCTCCCTTCGATCGTCCCAACGGCCAATCCTTTACTCTTGAGGAGAGGAGCTCGCCCAAGTAAAATTCTCTGAGGGTAATTACTACTGTCCCGTGTCGTCGGGAGACAGACTACCTGTCTACCACAAGTATGTTTAATATTAAATGAAAATTAAGAAGTGCACGCCATATTACTCTGCCCATTGTCCGATGTCTAGCCTGTATAATGTGTGTGTAATATAATATATTGTTAAAGTCTTAGTTTGTCATACTCTCGTGCGACATTTATCATTGTGTAGGTCTCTGACCTATATAAGGGGGGGGTTGTGTTGGGCCCTCTACGACGGAGTCCCTGGGTGTGTTGGTCCCTCTACGAACGGAAGTCCCTGGTTGTGTTGGCCCTCTCGATTGAAGTCCCTGGGTGTGTTGGTCCATCCTACGACGGAAGTCCCTGGTTGTTGGTTGCGTCCTCTCTACGACGGAAGGTCCCTGTTGTGTTGGCCCTCTACGACGGAAGTCCCTGGGTGTGTTGGTTCCCTCTACGGATAGGAAGTCCCTAGGTTGTATTGGTCCCTCTACGACGGTAAAGTCCTGGTTGTGTCCTTGGTCCCTCTACGACGAAAGTCCCTGTGGTGTTGGTCCCTCTACGACGGAAGTCCCTGGGTGTGTTTGGTCCCTCTACGAATGGAAAGTCCCTGGTTGCTATTGGTCCTCTACGATGAAGTCCCCTGGGTGTAGTTGGTCCCTCTACGACGGAAGTCCTGGTTGTGTTTGGGCCCTCTACGGACGGAAGCTCCCTGGGTGTGTTGGTCCCTTACGATGGAAGTCCCTAGGTTGTATATGGGTGCCTCTACGATTGAAGTCCCCTGGCGTGTGTTGGTCCCTCCTACGACGGCAAGATCCTGGTATTTTTTGTGGGTTTTTGGTCCCTCTACGACGGAAGTCGCTGGTTGTGTTGGCCCCTCTACGACGAAGTCCCTGGACTGTGTTGGTCCCTCTACGATGAAGTCCTGGTTGTATTGGTCCCCTTCCTCTACGGAACGGAAGTCCCCCCTGGTTGTTGTCTTGGTCCCCTCTACGACGAAAGTCCCTGGGTTGTGTCTGGTCCCTCTACACGGAGTCCACTGGTTTAGTCATTGGTCCCTCCTACGACGGAAGTCCCTGGTTGTTTCTTGGTCCCTCATACGACGAAAGTCCTGGTTGTGTTGGTCCCTCTACGACGGAAGTCCCTGGTGTGTCTTTGGTCCCCTCTACGACAGGAAGTCCCTGGTGGAGTCTTTGTCTACTAATATCTACACATAGAGACTGAGTGGGCTACGTAGCGCACTTTGAGCCCTCAGTTATGGAGGGGGAACACCAAATCTACTTCTCAGGGAGGTTAGCCTACCACGATGAGCGAGTCTCGTAATAAACTCTCTGGACCGTCTCTTCCTCTGAGAAATTTCATGTCGTGTGATGACTATGTGTGGACTTGTAGTCATCCTCCTCCTCGACGAAATTTCATCTCTGTGATGTATGACTAGTATGTGGACTTGCTCGTCCTCTCCTGGAGAAATTTCATCTCCATGTGATGTATGACTATATGTGGACTTGTAGTCCGTCCTTCCTGAGAAATTTCTCTCTGGTGATGTATGACTAATATGGACTTGTAGTCGTCCTGCTCCTGAGAAATTTCATCTCTGTGATGTTTGACTATATGGACTTGTAGTCGTCCTCTCCTACGAGAAATTGTCAATACTCTGGTGATGTATGACTTATGTCGACTTGTACGTCGTCCTCTCCTGAGAAATTTCATCTCGTGCATGTATGACTATATGTCTGCTTGTAGTCGTCCTCTCCTGTGAATTTCATTGTTTATGTTATTGATCTTATTGTGTGAGACTTAGTAGATCGTACAATACTCCTGAGAAATTTCAATCTTGTATTAGACTAAAATATGTGAGACTTGATAGTCGTCTCTCCTGAGAAATAATCATCTCTGAGAATATAAGACATATGCATGTGACACCTTGTAAGTCGCCATAACCTCTCTGAAAAATTATCATCTCATGATAAGATAGAATATAGACATATATAGTGGACCTTGTAGTCGTCACTCTCCTAGAGAAATTAAAACAAAAATAACAATCATCTGATGAATGTTTAAGCTATATGAGACTTAGTAAGTCAGTCTCTACATGAAGTTACATACTCTGTAGTGTTGACTAAAATAATGAGCAAGACTTGCTAGTCGTCACTACTCACACCTGAGACAATCGGGCGATCTCTGTGATGTCTTGACTATATAGGACTTGTAGTCGTCCTCTCTGAGAAATTTCATACTCTGAGAATTGTAATAAAAGACTATATGTCGACTTGTAGTCGTCTCCTGAGAAATTTATCTCATGGCATAGAATGATTGACTACACCACCACCCCCCAACACCCAACACAACCACCAAATATGTCATTTGCTAGTCGTCCTAACCCTCCTTCGAGAAATTACCACTCCATCTCCCTGACTTGATATGACTATGTGTCGGACTTGTAGTCGTCCTCTACCTGAAGAAATTTCATACTACTGTGACATGTAACTGACTCAATATTGTGGACTTGTAGTCACGACTCCATGGCTCTTATTTCTGCCGGAGGACCGAGGATTGAGGAGCGATAATGGAGGAGTGATAACCGAGGAATCACCAGACCATCCTCCGATGAAATCCTCAGATACTCGCCCCGCCCCCTTACTGTGTATCGCTCACTGATTGGACGATGCAGGGCATGCACTGATCTGATGCTTCTTGACATGAGAGCCGTTTCCCAGCGGAGTGAAGAAAATACATGAAACTCACGAGAGTCACTCCTCAGTTTAAACAGTGTTTTGTTTCAATTCATGTATCATTTAGTTACAAATATGTGATATATCTGAACAACAAAGTGGTGAAAAATCATTTTATTCATTTATTGGAAACATTTTCATGATCGCTTTTTTCGTTTATACATTTTAAGAATGGCGTTTATCTTTTTTGAGGATGTGTTCTTATTTGATTTAATGTATTTACGTCTACAACAGAGGTGTGTGTCAGTAAATGTGTACTAACAGAGGCGGAGGTGTTTTTGAAAATAACGGGGACAGAGCTGCTGTCAGGCGATCAGCTGTGCGGCGTCATCACAAACGGACGTCGCTTCACGTGACGCTCCGGAAGAAAGGACGTCCCATTGCTCTTAAAACTCATTTCCCTGCTTCTCGTGGTTTCCTTGCGTCTCTCCATGCTTCCCTGGTGGGAGGGACTAGACGCAGGGAAACGACGCAAGTGAGGTACGCAAGGATTCCATGTAATCTACTTGAGAAGGACCCTAAGACACGAGGATAGGAGTCGAGGATAGGAGTCGAGGAGGGGAATTAGAGAAATGAGAAACCTTCTATAACACTAAAGATTTCTGCTCACTGTGAGGACATAAGAACAAATCAGTTCAACGGCTCCACAGACAGAATAGAATAGAAACATAACACTTTACAAATGTCTGACATGACCAACATGTGTCCCACAAAAAGATAAAAGAAACCGCTGCAGTCCAAGCTTCATTTGTGAGATCTATGCGTTTTGGACTGAATTCAAGCTTCTATTAAGGTTTTTCAATTTGCAATTGATTTTTTTGTTGTAAAATGCAATTTATGGTGCTAATACACTTCTGCGACAGTTGCATCCCTTAGTGTGGCAAGCAGGAAGCACAGTTTCGACTGCAGTAAACATGTTATTTTGTTTCAAGACTTAAGGCCACCCACTATGAATCGTAACAGGATATTTTACATGTTGTGAATTTAAAAAAGGATCTTATCTTTTTTCCAATACATTTGGACTTTTGGACAACACAAAGCTCTGGAGTATGCGGAAATGTTTGGATGTCATCATTTTGAATGAAGCTTGGAATTCTTCGGTACAGTCCTATCTGCACTAACCAAATTGTTCAACCAATTGAGTGAAAAGGGACAGGCTTATAAGAAGCCAAACAAACTCAAGCTTATAACGTTTTTAAAATGAACAGTTTGCAAAAGTAGACTATTGACACATGCCTAACTGAGAAGTCACTGGATAATTATCTGTGGGTTTGTCAAGATGAGCGGCATCTTTCACATTAGACACATTTTCTAAGCAGAAGTAAAAAACATTGATAATTGACACTTTAAGCACTTAAATGCAGATAGTGACAAATATTGTAAAGAATCAACTAGAACTAATCATTTCTAGCTAAATCTAGGAAGTTAACACTAGTTCTACAGCTAAATCTTGCAGCTAATCACCTGAGGTGCAGTTTCTCCAGGTTAGCGTCTGCCAGCTCATCGTTGGCCCTCTGATGAATATCCCTTTGTGTTTCTATTTTGTGGTCGTCTGACAGACCGTCAACTTTGTGGATGAACACCTCAAAGTTGATGTCTGGATTCACTTTGTAGGCTCTGGATACGGTGAGATGCAACCGCTCGAGAGCCTCGACGTAGTCATCCTGAAGAGAAATAAAAAGAGACGTGTTTCTTCATGTCACACAGGAAGCCTTTAGAAACCTGCAAAGTTCTTCTCTTTTATCCCACCTGAGCATCAATGACAAATATCAAAGCGCCCGTTCCCTTGAAGATCATCTCACTGTCAAACGTGGGGTCCAAGAAGTCCACCTGGCCAGGAAAGTCCCAGATCTGGAAGTTGACAAAGGAGCTGCCGGAGATGTCGTCCTTGTAGATTTTGTTGGTGCTCTCCAGGAACAGCGTCTCGTTGGGGGACATCTTGTGGAAAACAACCTGGTCAGAGGAGAAGAGGATTAAGGTCAATCTCTTGATTTCTGCTTTCATTTATTGTCCTTGATATTAAGTTTATGTGATTGGTTTGGAACTACGTGCTACTTCTGTTCATTTGTAAATAAACACCTATTCCAAGTCTGTCCATCCTGGTTCTATCAAATAGCTTTTCCCTGAGTTTCTGACTTTTTGGGGGATTTATTGCAGGATATGTGTATTATTTCTAGCCAGGGGGCTCTAATAAACTGGAAGCTTGTTTAACCTACCACAATGCATCATACATTCTTAAGTCATCCTATGTTTTGTATTTGAAAGCCTAATTTGTAGTATTTAGCTCATATAACTCTCAAATAGTTGTGGTGGAAGTATCAGTCTAGCAGTAAGCAGATTGACTTACTGTTGCACTACAACTACTTCTAGGGGCACTAACATTAATGAAATGTGTAGAACGTGTATATTTTAAATGCATATATTCCCTACCTTCTGAATTGATGACTTCCCGCTGCGCCTCAGTCCCATCAGCAGGATCCTGGGTTTGTCAGCTGATGTGGAGCAGTTATCCTCCAGATCCTGCTCCTCTGCCCCGTACCCAAAACTTTTGGGAAACGACCCCACAGCATCATAACTGCCCGCTAACGTGGGGTCCTCGTACTGAATAGACATCCTGTCCTTTTCTCTCCGGCCTACTCTTTGTTCTTTTAGATGTGCTGTCCTTAGTTTAAGTTTTAGCTAACTGGCTAATAAATCCGGACAGGAATGTTGTTGATTTTCACGACGAACTAGCATGGCAAGCTAATTAGCTAGCAGCTGTCACCGCCGTGTTTATATAAAAACGCCAAGTCAGGCGGACACGTAACCACACGGGGTTTAAAATAAAAGTTACCAAGAGGTTAAATAACCATAATATCGGTAGAAATGTGGGTAACGCAGTTTACAAAACAGACAGGATTAGTAACAAGAAAAAGGCTAGTCACAAGTTAGACGCCTCTTGAAGCTGATTGGCTGTTCTCCCTAAACATAGTCATGTGACAAACAAAAGCAGGAAGAAAACACAAGCGGTGAGTAATGTTTTTTGGACATTTAGGGTGTTTTAAAACCTTATATATTGCTTTTAAACTTAAAGCTCCATGCTTTTAACGTTATGTTGATTTTCAAAATTCTACATATTTAAAATTCTGCAATTGCATGTTTAAAATTGTAATTATTTATTGGCTTATTTGATGTTAACCTCTTTGATTAGTAAGTTAGCTTGTCCATGCTAACTTCCGCAATGAGTCATTTAAATTGCCTTTATGTTTTGAAAGTACGTTATAAGGTCTAATTCCGTGTCTTAGTTTTGTGGCTTTTGCTGATAGATCTGAAACAGTCCATGTGCAGTTATAATGAAGTGAACGCATTGAAGATAATAGGAAATGCTGCTGTCAGCTTAGTTTCTGACTGTCACATGACTGCTACAGAGCATTTCAGCAACATTTAGTTATCCCAAATTGGGAGTAAATCCTTAAAAGTGAGTAATTCAGGAATAATTGTAGGTTTACCTAATTTGTGAGAACAAGGAAGTATTTCTAAGTGTTGTTACATTGTTACAGAAAAATGAATAATAAGCCATTCTTATTAAAAGAAGATGCTCCTGTTGTCTTGCGGTGTTATGTTTTGATAAAGTAGTACAACATTAAAAAAGGGAAATATGTATTACATATTTCACAACATAAAAATGCAAAATTCAACCCCTCATGTGTTTGTTTAAAGGTCCAGAATGAGAGAAGCCCTCCTGTGTTTCCTCCTGGCGGCTCCAGTGCTGCTGGTTGCCGGAAGCCCAGTTTATAAATCCGACAATGGGACCGTACCACTGGTGATCTGGCATGGGATGGGTGAGTGACGGTGCTGCTGCCCATTCTTACACTGAAATAATACAAAATGACATTAAGGAGCTGTCTTATCAACCTTCCTGTGGTATAATTTGATCTGTTTATGTATCCCTTTAGATCCAGTTTCCCCCTTTAATTCTGTAACATATCTTTTAAGTTTAAAAAAAAATCTTATTATTTTCATATTTCATATCAGCTTGTTCCAGCTCTTTAATGAAGCTACAAGGTGTTAAAACTAAGGGACATATTATACAAATACAAATCTCATATCATCTCTACTAAAGATGAGTCTGGCTATACAATGAACATATTTAAGCATTTCCTTTGTGTTACAATTCTAAGACTTTACAAGAGACTAAATAAAGCTCCTGCTCTTGCTTTGAAGACTTAAACAATCAGTTTCTTGAGCCTCTGACTTATTTCACAACATAAAGGGAAAGGGAAAGGTAAAGGTGAGTGCTGTGATAAGTGAAAGCAAATAAAACCCAACTACCACTTCTTTATAGACTTTAAATTCAAACTGACTGACCAGACCTATGATGTGAGCAAGGTGTGTTGTGCAGGCTCAAAGTTAAACTTAGAACTTGCATACTGTGGAAGTGAAAAAAAAAACACTTCTCCTTCAACAAGAATGGCCGGTTCCTCTGAGGTCAAGTTCTACACACAATTATGATTCCACTTAAGCTCCTCCATGTTTTAACAGCAGAACATTCTTCTGTGTGTTTCTGAAAAACGTCCTGTGTTTACGCACTGCTTCCTCATGAGCAATACACTCTGTATTATTATTATTTTTGTGAGTCAATGTGAGCTAAATATCTTGAATTCTAATAAAGGAAATGTTTCTGTGTCCACCAGGCGACAGCTGTTGTAACCCGCTCAGCATGGGGGCCATGAAGAAGATGATCGAGGAGGAAATCTCTGGCATCTACGTGCTCTCACTGATGATTGGGAAGAATGTCGTTCAGGTACTTAAACACTTCCCCAGCCACAACCAACCCCCTTACAAAGGAACTTATAATATTAAAGGAAATATTATTGAATATCTCTCTGTTCTGTCAATTCGTTGGTTTTTTTGGAGCTAATTTGACATGTTTTATAAATATTATATTGTTTTTTTGTGTGTTTCTCAAGCTATAAAATAGATTCCCTATAGTTTTGTAACTCCTAACTTATAAATTCATAATGTATTTTTATATCAAATAGAAAAAACTTCCTTTATTCCTCTTGTACAAACAAATACATCTGAACATATAATAATAATAAAAATAAACGTACTTCTACTACTACAAATACTAATGCAAAAATTAACTTTGCTTTTATAGGAATTTTAAAAAGCGCTTACAAGGTGTTTTACAAAATACAACGCTTTACAACACAAGTATAGAGAACAAAAGAACATTTCAAATACAATCACACAGAGAAAATGCAATAAAAACATTTAAAAACAACGTATGATGTGTTTAACCATCACATGTGAATCGAACAATCATAGTGGGATGAATACATCCCCCTGACGTGTGAGGATTCCCACCCTGTGATATTTGCAATGCCAGTGGCACAGGTTACATCAGAAAAGGAACTCTTTTACAACTTCACGGTGTCATTTTTCAGCGTTAATATTCATAGAAAACCTGCATGACTCTGCTTTGATCTGTCGTGACACCGTGAAGTCATCTCTCCGCGTTTCTCCTCAGGACGGTGCTCGTTTTCTTCGTCTTAATCTGCCCGTCATGCTCTGAACTTTTCATATTCCCCCTCCTGCAGGACACAGAAAATGGGTTTTTCCTGAATGTGAATGAGCAGGTGTCCATGGCGTGCAGTCAGCTGGCCCAGGACCCCCAGCTGAAGGGAGGGTACAACGCCATGGGCTTCTCCCAGGGGGCGCAGTTTCTGTACGTAACTGCTGTCCTGCACACTTGATGGTTTTTAAATTCATGTGGTAGACATTTAGCTAATTCTCTGTTTTTGTGTGAAGTTTCCTTCTTGTCTGCAGAAGGAATTATTGTAAAAATAGCAACATCATCAAGAAAAGCTTTTGTGAGAGAATCAGGAAGCTTGGTTTTGATACTTCCTGGTTCCTCTTTTTCTAGGAGAGCCGTGGCTCAGCGCTGTCCCTCTCCACCAATGAAAAACCTGATCTCTGTCGGGGGCCAGCACCAAGGTAACATCATTAAAAAAAAAACATTTAAAAAAACCCAGCTCACTTCCCTTGGCATAGCTGCTGCTGCAAACCATTTCTGTTTCTTTTTGTGTTTACTGATCACACAGAGTTAATGAATGGATACATCTATATAACGTGTTGGAGTCGCATGTAATAATACAATCCCTAAAATATTGCTATTATGCTTTTAGTATATAACACAATCTCTATTATACTTACCAATCAACAATACATGGGTACACTTACTGGTGTCATCTTTGTTTTCAAAGTCAGATACATTTTCTTTGTCTGGCAAAGAGCTCCATTGTTGTCTCAAAACTATAAAAAGGCACCAGTGAGTCACACAGACATGAGGCAGTGTAGTTTATTTGTAATACTGCAAACATTGTCCTGCTCCTGTAAATAGTCACCACATGTATATACCGGTACATTAAAACAGCTTTCTCCTACGTGAGTTACATTTGCAAAAACATTGGAATGAAATACAAATTGGTCAAGTGGTGTAGCAGTGATTGTTTTATCCCAATAATACTCACGTTTCAAAGTTCATTCTTGATAATGAAACAGTTCTCAACACAAAGGTCACTTTATTAGCTTTACTGACCTTTGGATAAAAGCACATGATCTTACTCAATGTATTTTATCAGTGCTGCTCTGACCAAATACATTTAGTCAGTCATTTCTTTGTGAGCACTTGAAGGACTTCTCCATGTTGAACCACTGTTTTATTTTCAGATCCTCTAGTGTTAAAGGTCACCTGTTATGCAAAATCCACTTTTTTATGTCTTTTATATATAAAACATGTGTCTGAGATTCTGGAAGTTTCAGGAAAAAAAAAATTCACACACTTTCTGTCCTGATCCATTTATATAAAAACCTGTCTGAAAATGAGCTGATCAGATTTTGGCCACTTTATGATGACATAACGATGTTTTGTCTTGTGTAACCATTAGCCAATCAGCAACCAAGGTAACCAAATGTCTCTCAGAGGGGTGTGGGGAGGGGCTCCTTATTTTCATCTAAAGTGACAGACAGAGAATCAGCACTTTGGAAACAGGGCTGAAACAGAGGGGATTATGGGTAATGCTGCAATGATCTGTTTGGTGTTCGGAGCCAAACACTTCAGAGACATGTTTTGATGAAAAACCGTATAATAGGGGACCTTTAACCAAAATGAACGTGTATCGCAGGTCCTCCAGGACATGGGTCTGCCCACAGGAGTGGAAGTGAAGACTGAGTCGATAAAATCGGAGGAGGTGGTCGTAGCGGTCACTGTGGAGGAAGTGAAGCCGGTGATAACGCCCATCGAAGCTCCCAGCTCTTCCCCAGCAGCCGCCAACGCAGACGGCAGTGAAGCTGTAGAGGTACACCACTGTGGGCATGAAGAGGGGCTTCTTTTGGGGGGTGGGGGGGTGTGCACAACATGTGACTGACCTGGTTTCTAAACTGTCAGACTGCTCGCCAACAGGGACCGATACTCACTAAACACGGGAAAAACCCCGTGATGGAGCTGAACGAGAAGCGCCGCGGCCTGAAGTACGAACTCATCTCGGAGACGGGAGGAAGCCACGACAAACGCTTCGTCATGGAGGTGGATATCGACGGGCAGAAGTTCCAGGGCACCGGGTCCAATAAGAAGGTGGCGAAGGCCTACGCTGCTCTGGCTGCTCTGGAGCGGCTCTTTCCAGAGGGCGCTATGGCCGAGGCTGCCAAAAAGAAAAAAGGACCACCAATGGTAAGCTCCCTGGAAAAATCACATCAAGGTGGAATTTTTAAATCAAAGTATGGGTAATAATAATATATTACACGGTTTGTATTGTATAATGTTTCAAATTAAGGCTTTTATTGTCATGTGTGCATAGCTACGGTGTAGATATGTCAATGAAAATCTTAGGTGGCGGCGAATAATCGATTAATATTCGCC